TTTTGGGTTGGAGGCCACTGACCCACAGAAAAATCAGCCGGGAGCCGCATACAAAAAACCCTCACTGTGGCCTCCAACTAAGGAGAAAAATACTCCCCACATCTCTCTCACACACCAGAGCCTGGGGGGAGGAGGCCAGGCTAGTAGATTTTGTGTGGTCCAGCCCCACAGGGGCAGCAAGGAGGCTGGAATGCCAGTACAAACTCCGCAATGTTGGGAGACCCTAAGCCTCGCACAGGGGCAGCAAGGAGGCTGGAATGCCAGTACAAACTCCCCAATGTTGGGAGACCCTAAGCCTCAGGGGCCAGACTAAGGATGTGAACGACTTATCAGATAGTCAGCTAGTAGCTTCCCACCTTTTGGTGCCTCTATCAGAAAGAGGCAGCAAGGGTGGGGGGAGTGAAGGGGATACTTCAAAGTGGCAGTGCTGTATGGAGCCTGGAGCCAGACCCTCGGTTCCATGTGGCGCTGCCGCTTTGAAACGCCGTGTGCAGCCTGGGGCCAGCTGGGGAGTCCCCAGGCTGCATGCAGCATTTCAAAACCGCACTGCTGCATGGAGCCCGGGATCAGCTGGGGACTCCTCTATGCAGCACTGTCGCTTTGAAACACCGCATGGAGCCTGACGCTGGGCTCCCTGCAGTGTTTCAAAGAGGCAGTGCCGCATGGAGCAGGGGGTCAGCAAGCAGCCCCCAGCTGATCCCAGGCTCCATGTGGTGCTTTTGCCTTTGAAGTGTAGCAACAGCCTTGGGACTGTTGCTATACTTCAATGGTGGATGTGTCCCATCAACTAATCTAATAGTCAATTACTTGATATTTAAGATCCCTAGCCTAGATGCAGGCAAGCCAGGGCCACGTCTGGTCCCCTGGCCTGAGGTTCCCCACTCCTGCCATGTTGGTTTTACTTAGGAGCATCATTAAAACAACCTCTACTGTGTGTTATAAAGAAAGTAAAACTCTATCTTGTCTTGTGCAGATGCAGAAGGGTAGGAGCACACTTTTCCTCTCCCCAATTGCACAGAAACCAACAGCTGAACTTGATTCCAAAAGAAGAGACCTAGGTCCAGCTAATGCACTTGCTGTGTTGCATGGCCCAGGATCTCTTCCAGCAAATAGTTACAAGTTTTAGTGCAGTTGTCGTCTTCAACTGTTGCAACATTTTTCATAAAGGGGGAGAAATGACAAATACAGAAAAAAAGAAGAGAGCATCCAGCCAGCTGTGACCGTCATGACATGGCACCTCCTTCACCTTACCCAGGCTAAGTGTTTCCTCTCTGATGGCGAGATGCCTGGATAAATCAGCCTGACACCAGACAACTTTTATTCCTCACTCAGGTTTTATTTTTCAGTGTTTTGTATTGTGGGTGTCAGGCTAACCCCAAGGAATATGCTTCTGCTAAATAACAGAAACAAATTCATAACCCCAAAGGGAAAACCCTTCTGGGATGGGGTCTTGTTTCACTGGCTTCTGGGTATCAGTTCTACCCTAGACAGGCAGTTAGCTTGGTTGCTTCCCCTAGAGCAAGGAGAGCAGCCTTTCACAGGAGAGGCCTTTTCTCCCCACTGACTCCCACCCTGCTGCAGCTCCCATTCCTCCTCCCTCTTGCTCACCAAAAGAGGGGGATTTAAAGGTCAAATGCAGACCTTAAACTGGACAGTAAGTGACCCTAGCTGGCCTGTTTTCAGCTCCTGGGGAAAGGGACCTTCACATTCTAAGGCTGATATACCAGCCTTCCTCCACTCTCATACAGCCATTTCAAAGTTTTGGGAGGGATGACCCGTGCATGCCACGATAGTGGAGGGACAGAGTGAGGGCATGGAGAAAATGGTGTGAGAGCAACGTCTTCCACAGTGTTACTAAGCATGCTTAATACAAACCAAGAAGCAAATGAGGGGGGAAGACAATTCTCTGTCCCCTCCCACACACACACCACCTGTTTGCTCAGGTTACTAAGGCACTTGAAAACTCTAGTTTTTGGCAGATAACTTACCAATTAGCTGACAAGAACTATGTATCCAATTACTTTATAAAAGACTTCATGAACCTGTTGAAGTTTGTGAAGATCAAGGATGGGGCATCATCCATCTTTTTTTCTGAGTTAAAAATACAGGTAATAAAACCTTCTCTCCTTGTGTCGAGGAGGAATGGGTTCCATCGCCCCTATTTGGAGAAGATGTTGTATCTCTGGACGTTGGTGAAATTTGAGAGAGGGGCCGTGAAAAAGAATGGGGTAGGAATGTGGGTAGGGGATTGGAAAGGAAGGAAATGGTATAACCTGAGCAGATGACCTCTAAAGCCCGTCCTTTGGACGTTAGAGAGACCATTGGTTGTAAAATGGGCAGAGTCAATCTGCAAAAAGCATTGTAACTTGTGGGAAGCCTTCAAGGCCCTCAAAACAAATTTTTAAATTTGTGTATTAGAAACTGGTGGATGGGTCATTGACTCAGATCACTACTGTTGATGTTGACACCTCTGTCTTTGACTTTGGTGTTGCAACTATTCATATGGTTGCTGCTGTGTATAGAGGGGTATACCTAGGTCATTAGTCAGGTTGCTACCAGTATTTCCTCATCCTGGTCACCAGGATGTGAATCCCAAGAGTGAAGGGGAGCTTGTGAGTCCTTCATGGTGTGAAGGACCTTGTTGATCTTTACAACAAAAAGTTTTTCCAAAGGGGAGATCTTCTACGGTGGATTGGACCTCACGGAGAAATGTAGTGGAAGGGAACAAGGAGGCTATATGCATGACTACTGCCATGTCACTTGAGAGTGCAGTGTCAGCCTTGTTCAATGGGGCCTGGTGGGCTGTGTCCATGATAGCGGGATTAACAGGGAGAACTCTCTTGGAGGATGAAGAGGCCTGTAAGATGCCAGCGAGCTCATGTTGTGATTCTGACACCTCCTCCAAAGCTATTTTGAGTTCCTCCTTTTAAAAAGTATGAAAAATCATCTGCTGAGGTCAGGGGAGAGGGCATAATTGCCTTGTCTGGGGAGGAGGAGGAGTTGGTAGGAGGTGAGATGTCTGGGGCTAGTTCTTCTGGTATATCCGTGACTGACTCTTAGATATTCTCTTCCTGGTGTGTAGGGGAAATGCACCTTCAGGTAGACACCCCTGCAGGGAAGACTTAGGTTGGGGCCTAAGAGGATTGGCATGTCTGCTGAAGTGTCTGTTGTATGAGCCCCTTGGGCTACAGTAGGGCCAATGTGCTGGATAGGGCATGGGTGGTGGCATCCATGAATGTCCAAACCATGGTGGCCTATCATAGCTATAGGGGGCATGCAGAGTGGGTTGGGGGTGGTGGTGAGCAATGTCTGCTAGGGGAAGGTTGTTGTGGAGAGAAGGCAGCCTCAGCCCCACTTATCATCAATGGAAAACTGAGTCATTGCCGGGGATGAGATGTGCAGAGCCAAGGTTTGGGGAGAAACATTGCTGCTGAACAGAAGAGACTGCAGTGTGGAGGAGGTGAGGAGAGACCTACACTAAATACAACCACAATGTGACTTTTATAAGAAAAGCATAGAATTTAAATTATTTACCACATGGTATTCTGGACTGTCATAACCCGGTGATTTTTAAAAACATTCAATATTTGTTAGATCATAGCATTAAAAAGTGTCATGCCTGTAAATATACCCAATATGTACTCTGTATTTTCAGGTACAGAGTAAGCATATAAAAATCAAACTGAAGAGCTTTAAGAGTTGCAGAGCAAATAGAGTAAAAATGCAAAATACTTGGTCACTGACTTTTTAAAATAAATATGAGTTTATAACTAAAATACAGTGTTCTAACTCCTGGCTATATTAATAAACACAAAAATTGCATGTCAGAAATATTGTAAAGATGCTATCCCAAATATGGTAATAGCCTGTTAAGAGAGATATATGGTGATTATTCTGCTATATGCTTTTCTGAACAAAAGCTCACCGTGATAATATGTTCTTGGTTTTTTTTGTCTTGTCTGTAATGTTTACATAGTAAGGATTTGTCAATCTGTTAATACTCCTTAAATAAATAAGTAGTTTAAAACAAACCAACAAAAACAAACAAAAGGGCATTTGTATTTCCTAATTTCAGCCGCTCCCTGTGTGTCTGATCCTGGCTGAGAAATTCTGTCAATTAAAATGGAGGGCACACCCATATTTTTTACAAGCTTATAATTATACATGGCACCTCATCTATTTACACATGTGGCTATAATGGAAATTAAATGATCAGGTTGAGTCAATGCTGAGAATTGATTCGTTTAACCATATTTTCACTGTGCTGTGCATTAGTGACATTTATTTAGTCACAATCAGCTTTATCATGGCAAATAGTAAAAGTAAGTTAAAAGTAAGATTGATTCTGAAATTAAGAGTGTTCTGTCTGCAAGACAACCTGATGTACTTAAAGAAAAGCTACAGTGTGAGTGCGTGTGTAAAGATATTTAAATGAACTTTAATATAAAAGCGTACAATGTTCATTGCTTATCACTAACATTTGCAATAATGAGAATTAGATTGTAAGAAACGCTTTCTAGATATTTGAAGAAATAAAATCAAAATAAAGAAAAAGTGATCTCATGTCAAGGACACTGTGTGAAATCAGCCACCAGGAGGTAATCTAGATTAGTACTATATGGCTTGAATTGCTTAGGGCCAAGGGCAGATGACAGTTTTGCGGGGCCCCAGGCAGCATACTTCCGTGGGGCCCCCCCTTTTCCACGGCGCATGCGCAGTGATGCCATGTGCATGCGCAGTGCCCCCAAAGCGCATGCGCGGGGCTTTCTAAAGCGCGGGGCCCGGGGCGGCCGCCCCGTTCGCCCTGCCGTATATCCGCCCCTGCTTAGGGCATCTCATGTACTTCTCAGATGCAATAAATATATCTCAGATAATTACCATTAGCAACTTTTCATACAATAAGACGTAAGGCTCAAATTTCATACTTCTCAGAATTAATTAGGATTGCATGAAAAGAATGAAAATGTGTATGGCACTGAACAGAGAAAACGGTTACTTACCTATATAGTACTTGCTGGTCTTCAAGGTGTGCTGTTCGCATACACATTCCATTGGAGGTGTTTCTTCAAGATGGTGGGACTTCAGATTACTTGAAGAGAGACTGTAGCATCTATTTGCCAAAACTGGAATCCTCCTGGGACACTAACATAACAGTGTGCTGTCTGGAAAGGGTATGTACAAAACTCATATTGCCGCTTTGCAAATGTCCCTACTGATATATTGCCCAAGAAGGCTGATTAATTAGAACGAGTCCTAGTGGAATGGGCTTTTATTCTCAGAGAAGCGGAAACCTTTGATGGATTATGGCAAAGCTTGATACAGTCAGAAAGCCAGTGGACTATAATCAGCTGCCCTTTAATCCTTTCAGCAAAGGCTACATAAGGGCAAGGAAGTGACCTGAAACACTATGCAAATTCCAGATAAAAGGTTAGGCCCTTCCAAATATTAAAACTATTATTCTTCTCTTCAGCTTTTCAAGAATGTAAGTTCACAAAGAACACCAGAACATGAATGGCCCGATTGAAGTGGCAGACAAATACAACTTTTGGCAGGAATTTACGGTGCGGCCTCAAGAAGACCTTGTCTTCATGAAATTCTGAGAGAGGAAGGTCAATGAGGGCTTCTATATGCTATGTGGGGAAGTACACAAATAACATAGCTGAAGTTGATGCACTTAGATCTACTTACCACAGTGTCTTTGCAGCAGTGTGTCAATAGGAGATGTTCTGTTGACTCCCCTTTGAGATAGAGTGAGTCTGCAGGAGAGCATCAGTGATTGAAGAATTTTGTCTATAGTCGACAAAATAAATCAAACCCTACTGGCTCGATCACTGCCCCATTAATTCAGCTGGTAGTGCAAACCTTTCCTTCAATGCCCTTCTCACAGAAGTACTTGCTATCAGAAATGAGAAATGCTGTTCTCGTTGACATCAATGACAAGGAAATTGGTCATAACATTGCAAAGGAAAAATCCATCAGACAGCACAAAACTAAATTCAAGCTTCATGAAGGTGCTGGGTAGGAGACAGGAGGACACATGTGAGTGAAGGCCTTTAAGAAAACCTAGATACAGAAGCCAGAAAAGTGGTGAATGTATCATGGAAATGGATGCTAAATTGATCCTCACAGACCTGAGGTCAAGGCTGGTGAACGGCAACAGCAGGTGGTCTAATATATGTGTAATGTCTGTGATGCTATCAACACCATGAGGTGAAGTGATTGTAAGTTGAAGTGCAGTAAAATGCCTTGGTTCTAAGTCAGAAGGTCTTTGATGAGAGAGTAGGTTAAGGGGGCTCTAGATCTCTGCCTCCACATTTCATATCTGAGATGCACTTACCCTAGTCCCAGACGGAGCTCTTAACCGGAACACCGTTTCCCTTTGATATGTGATGATTTTAGAAGCTGGGAGGAGCAGTACAGGGAGTTTGTTTATAAACAAACAGAGGCAGGATGATTAATTTAATAAAAGGCTTATCATTAAAATAAATTAAGGATTGTTAGATGGTCCTAATAGCACTGCCCGGCATTCCAGTAAAAGAAAGGAAAGAAAGGGTGGGAATAAATGGTGAGACTGGAGAGAGGTAAATAGTTACGCGTAGGATACAATATTACTCAAGATCAGGGCTACTCAACTTTGGAAGGCCCCGGGCCACAATGATACAGCACATGCCAGGGGCCACAACTTAAGTGTGGTTGCAAATATATGCAAATAGCTTCTTTCACAGATGGGCATGAATACAAAGATTAAGGTAAGACTACACAATACGCAGGCCACACTTAAGTCAGTTCTGCTGATAGTGATAAAACGCAATATTTACTTGATTTCCACCCACATGAAGCACTTTTAATGAGCAACAACAATCCAGGAAGTTAACGACTAAACAGCATATCAACAGAACACCATTACATTGACTGCTTTTTGGCTCCCAACCACGGGCTGCATGTTGAGCCCTGAGTTAACCCAAACCACACCGTGGGCAGCAAACAAACAGGCCGTGGGTTGCATGTGGCCCGCAGGCCACTTTTGTAGAGTAGCCCTGCTCAAGCTAGTTAATGACAAAGGAGACTGTAAAGAGTTGCAAAGGAATCTCATAAAACTGAAAGTTGCCATACTTGAGCAAAAAACTGCAGCTCGAAACAGCAGAGCTGGAATTCATATGCAAACTTGATACTATCAGACTGGGACTAAATAGAGACTGGGAGTGGCTAGCTCACTACACAGTAATTTCACCCCTTTTGGTATACTCACGTTCTCATCAACTGTTGGGAGTGGACCATATCCACCCTGATTAATTTGGCCTCCTTAGCACTGGTACTCCCCATTATAATGGAACACTCCCATCTTTGCATGTGTGTATATATCCCTGCCAAATTGAGGTTTCTACAATATGACAAAGTGGGAGAGTTTATGCCAAAGAAATGTGTTAGTCATTAAGGTGCCACAGGATTATTTATTGTTTTTTCATAAAATTCAGTGACCGGGCAACAAAATGGCAGCTGAAATGCAATGCTGATAAATTTAAAGTAATTCACATGGCAAAATATAGTCCCAACTATATATGCGAAATGATGAGATCTAAGTTAGCTGAACCCATCAATAAAGAGATCATTGTGGATAATTCTCAGAAAATATCAGAATCTAGGGACTCATTAGGAAAGGGATAGATAATAAGTCAGAAAATACTACATTGCCTCTATATAAATCTATGGTACACTCACATATTTAACACTGCATTTAGATTTGGTCACCCCATCTCAAAAATATATTGGATTTGGAAAAGGCACAGAGAAGGGCAATGGAAATGATTAGAAGTACTGAACACATTCTGTATGAGGAGAGATTAAAAAAAGATAGGGCCTATTCAGTTTGCAGAAAGATGACTTGGGAGGATATCAAATCATGAATGGTGTGAAAAACTGAATAAGTGTTATTTATAATTTTACATAATACAAGAATGAGGAGTCACCCAAAGATATTAATAGGCAGCAGATTTAAAAACAATTTCTACAAAATCAAGCTGAGGAACTCTTTGCCAGAAGATGTTGTTAAACCCCCAAACTATCACATGGTTCAAAAAAGAACTAGGGAAGTTCAAGAAGGATAGGTCCCTCAACGGCTATTAGCCAGAATGGGCCTGATGGTGACTCTTCCTTTTATGTTCCAGAACCTGGGAATGGGTGACAGGGAATGGATCACTTGATAATTACCTGTTCTGGTCATTCCTCCCAAAGCACTTGGCATTGGCCACTGTCGTCAGACAGAATACTGGGCTAAATGGACCTTTGGTGTGACGACGATGGCCGTTCTTATATAGAATCCAAGGGTATCTGTTCCACTCCTATTGTAACCCACTAAACCGCATACCCGTCCCAGAATGATATAGAACCCAGGAGTCCTAACTTCTTCCCTCCACAGTTAGTCACAAAGTTAGAATATATATTTAAAAATTTAAAGCTAACACTATTCCTTAAATGACTTTGCACAAGAGTCAGAACATGTTACTAGAACTGAGTGGCTCTCATTTATTCCTGGGAATCAAATACAGGGCTTCTGTCAGCTAAAATAACTAAATTATCTTCCAAAAACCTGAAGATTTCAAGTGACCAACTAGACTCATGTTTAGTCATAGGTAAGCTGCCCCCATCCCATCTAAAATGATGGCCCCCTGGTCCTATGGGAGGTCATATAGAGTTGAGATAGGTCTATGTGCCACTATTGCCTGGGCCAAGCTGATGTTATGAGAATTATAATTACTGAGTCTCTTTTTAGCTTCCATATTAGAGGGAAGCTTAAAAACTTCGATGTCAGTATTAGAGGGACAGGAGGAAATGCATATATCACAAGACTCAACCAAGGAAACAGGAAAGCACCTGTCACAGCACCCACGTGCAACCTGGTCTGGAGCAGAATTTCTTGCATTTTTTTTGTTCAGGCTGGTCACAAAGTGGTCTATTCCTGGACTATCCCAGTGCTGAAAAGTCTGGTACAGAATGTATTTGTTTCTCCAGCCTTCATGAGGGTCTATGAAGTTCTTGCTGGGGCAATCTGCAATAGTATACCTCACTCCTGGGAGGTGAAATGCTTTTAGGGGAGACTGTTCTTTATGACAAACTTGCACAGATGAATCTCTTCTTGGGATAACTCACTGGTCTTCACATTCCATTGTTTGTTCCGATAAAACAGAGTAGTGGTGCTGTTGGTGTGTGGTTGGAACCCCCAGTTCTTGATGGTGGAATTTAACATCTTGCATTCTCTCCAAACTGGTTGACACGCCAATATATTTATATGGAACAAAATTTTCTGAGACTTACAAAGTTCCTGAGCGTAAGTTGACCCAGATAGGTTCCCTGAGCTTTGGTAGATGCATCTGTTACCAAGACCACAGTTGTTTTGGTGGTCGAAAGGGGACAGCTCTGTATATCTTTGGCACATTCAACCACCAGTTCAGGGACAGAGGGTTCAAGAGAGACTAGACTAAGCTTGAATGAGGCTGAGGGAATGGGGCAGAACCTGCAGGGACGGGAACTGGACATTCAGAAATAGGGGCAAAATAAGATTGGCTGTTCCAAGCCCCACAACCTCAAGACTTTACTCTAGACCAGTGGGACTCAACCTTTTTTCATGCGCAACCCCCAGAGCTGGGAAATTTTTTGTTGCACAAAACAAAAAAACAAAAATACTGGGAACGTTTTATTGCGGCCCCTTTAATTTAAAGTGCCGGTCTGCTCCCCTACAATTCCCCCCACTGCATGTAAAATCCGCGCCTGGAAAACAAAATGCTGGCCAGCCCAGAACAAAGTGCTGAGACCCCGTCCCCCAGGAAGACAGCCCATGTGTTGCGCACCACTGCTCTAGACTTCCCCTACATTTCCCCATACTGGGGTGTTGATCGCCAGGCCAGGCTGAGCTGCGTTTGACAGAGAAGCCAATGTGTCATTGCACTCCCCTGATCTGAAGGATGGATGGTGAACAGTTTTGTCCCCTCTGTAAGTAGAACTCAGTATTAACTGATCTCTTGTTGGAGGCAAATGTGAAGTAACACAATAATTAAGACTACGCCTACACTAGCACTTTTCTCGATTTACTTTATATCACTCTGGTATATATCTTATATCAGACTGTGAGGGACTCCAAGAAGATCTCACCAAACTGAGTGATTGGGCAACAAAATGGCAAATGAAATTTAATGTGGATAAGTGTAAAGTAATGCACATTGGGAAAAATAACCCCAACTATACGTACAGTATGATGGGGGCTAATTTGGCTACGACAAATCAGGAAAGAGATCTTGGAGTTATCGTGGACAGTTCTCTGAAAACTTCCACACAGTGTGCAGCGGCGGTCAAAAAGGCAAATAGGATGCTAGGAATTATTAGGAAAGAGATAGAAAATAAGACCCAGAATATCTTACTGCCCCTGTATAAAACTATGGTACACCCACATCTTGAATACTGTGTACAGATGTGGTCTCCTCACCTCAAAAAAGATATTTTGGCCTTGGAAAGGGTTCAGAAAAGGGCAACTAAAATGATTAGGGGTTTGGAACGGGTCCCATATGAGGAGAGGTTAAAGCGACTGGGACTTTTCAGTTTAGAAAAGAGGAGACTGAGGGGGGATATGATAGAGGTCTATAAAATCATGAGTGGTGTGGAGAGGGCTGATAAAGAAAAGTTATTTATTAGTTCCCATAATAGAAGAACTAGAGGACACCAAATGAAATTAATGGGTAGCAGGTTTAAAACTAATAAAAGAAAGTTCTTCTTCACACAGCGTGTAGTCAACCTGTGGAACTCCTTGCCAGAGGAGGCTGTGAAGGCTAGGACTATAATAGAGTTTAAAGAGAAGCTGGATAAATTCATGGAGGTTAGGTCCATAAAAGGCTATTAGCCAGGGGATAAAATGGTGTCCTTGGCCTCTGTTTGTCAGAGGCTGGAGAGGGATGGCAGGAGACAAATCGCTTGATCATTGTCTTCGGTCCACCTTCTCTGGGGCACCTGGTGCTGGCCACTGTCGGTAGACAGGACACTGGGCTAGATGGCCCTTTGGTCTGACCCAGTACGGCCGTTCTTATGTTCTTATGGGATGTAAATAAACACACATACCTCTAAGTGACATAAATTACACCAACAAAAGCACCAGTGTGGAGCGTACTGTTTTGATGGGAGAGCTTCTTCCCCAATGGAGTTCCTGCTGCTCATTGAGGATGGTTTAATTACATCAATGGGAGAACTCTCTGCAGTCAGCATAGAGCAGCTACTTGGGAGATCTCACAGTGACACAACCATGTGGCCACAGTAAAAGACATATTAGATCAAATCAGAGGCTCATCTAGTCCAGAATCCCATCTGACAGCAGCCAACAACAGATGCTTCACATGGAATGCAAATGAGTCCCACAAGCAGGGAACCAAGACAAGGTGATTGTCTCTGGATGCTCGTGGGAGAGCAGAAGTCTAACCATTATTACAGGTTGTATCAACAGTAAGAAACTGCTCTGCTATTACAAACCACCTCCACCCTGCATCCCCTCACAGTGAGTTTGACTGGGAATGTGTGCAAGTTCCCAAAGCAATACAAGACAACTGTTTAATTTTTCTTGGAAGGCATTCAGACACCTTGGCAATGAGAAAGATTTGATGGAAGCAGGAAATACAGGTTGGTGAAGTGGAAGGGAAGGGAAAGGGCAAATTCTCAACCTCAAGCTCCTTTTCTGTCTGGGACAGCATTATTCAGGATAATGTCTGCTCCTTTCCCAGGAGTACAAGAAAGGAAATAGATCAATGTAATCTATTGCCTCATACATCTTGTACATCTGCAAAAGAGCAAGCTAGCATCTGGCACAAAAGCACACATTTATATGTACAACTTGTACAAATATGACACACAGAAAGAAAATCCCCAATCATAAAAAATGCAGGGTCTCCTGACAGTTACTTATGTTTACATTTATTTTTAGTTATTAAGCAATAGTTAGCAGTTTTTCTGATTTGATTTTATACATCTATGGGTTTCCTAATGAGTAACAGGAAATTCTATGTAATCCTTTTCCTATAGTCTAATGCCCTTAAAAACGCATTAGATTGGAGGGACTTAATGGATAGGAGAGCTTGATATCTGATATGTATTTTTTATGTCTAGCTTCAATGATAATCTTTTATTTCAAAACACTGAGGCTACGTCTACACTGGCCCCTTTTCCGGAAGGGGCATGTAAATTTCATGAGTTGTCGTAGGGAAATGCGCGGGGGATTTAAATATCCCCCGCGGCATTTAAATAAAAATGTCCGCCGCTTTTTTCCGGCTTTTAAAAAAGCCGGAAAAGAGCGTCTACACTGGCCCCGATCCTCCGGAAAAAGCGCCCTTTTCTGGAGGCTCTTATTTTCCGGAGGCTCCTACTTTGAAGTAGGAATAAGAGCCTCCGGAAAAGGGTGCTTTTTCCGGAGGATCGGGGCCAGTGTAGACGCTCTTTTTCGGCCTTTTTAAAAGCCGGAAAAAAGCGGCGGACATTTTTATTTAAATGCCGCGGGGGATATTTAAATCCCCCGCGCATTTCCCTACGACGACTCATGAAATTTACATGCCCCTTCCGGAAAAGGGGCCAGTGTAGACGAGCCCTGAGAAATTAGCCTCTGTCTTGCTTTAACAATTCTAGCACACCCAAGTTGTTGGGCCATTTCTGTACTTGCATTGTTTTCCATATTTTTTAGGCACCATTTCAAAAAGGCAATTACAATTTCCTTTTGCTCCTGGTTAGATCTCAAGTTCTTACTCCATATCTGATCCCAGATCCTCTGACTTCAAATTCATTCTCTTTCAAGTGCTATAACAGTGACAAGCCATATATTACAGTTTAAATCTCCGTTTCCACTTATGGGAAATAAAAGAAGATTTTATTAGCATAGTTCAGAAAACATTTCAAAATAAAAAATAACAAAAAAGGTAACTAGAAATAAATACATTAATAAGATTCAAAACAAAGCATTGCTAGCCAGTTAGAATATATGCTTCACAAATTAATGGAAATACCATCTGGTGTCTTTTCCATACCAGCATTTTGAAGGCTCTCTCAGGTATTCAGGTGCTCATGTTTCTCACCCATTCCAACCAGCATAATTTTGATCATATTTAGGCTCCTCCTAACATAGCAACAGTTTTCAAGTTTTCTAGAATAAATTGCCTAGGGAGGTTGTGGAATCTCCATCACTGGGGGTTTTAAGAGTAGGTTAGACAAAGGGAACATAAACTGTTCTCTTCCAGTCTTCGCACTTCTATGATTCTTATGCAGCTTCAAATAATACAAAAATTATCAATTTTCCATGGCTCTTCTGCAATTATCACCTATATTATCAGACACTTTTTTTGCTCATCTTTAAGGATTGTGGTTTATAACGCAAAACAAAAAATTATGTTTTTGTATTTAATTTATTTATTTAAAAGGTACTCACTGACCAGAACTTCCACTTAAGTCCAAACTCCAGTGCTCACTCTGTCAATTGCCTTTCATCTCAAGAGGCACATTCACTAGCTACTTCTGCATTTATATCAAACTAGTTCAGCACCTAAGGACTTTGACCCTCCCACTAACATACCCTGTCAGATTGCCTGACCTGTGACTCACTCACTTCTAACACTCACAGACAGGTATGGAATGTATGCCTTGTTAAAACCCTGCTCCTGTAGCAGTTACACTCCTAACCACAAATTACCACCGTTTTAAGTGTCTTTTACTTAGTGTGGCCCTACAGTTCTTCCCCGTGTGTTTAAACAGTTTAAAAAAAAAACCCTGTCCTTATTAAAGCTTCTAGTCATTCCAAACTCCTATTTGTTCACCATAAATTGCCCCTCATTCTACCTGGGGCCACTCAGATTAAGTAGTACTATATTTGAACTTACAATTTACTATTACTATTTCCAGCTGGTTTTGCATTTAAAGCTTGACTATAAGTAATGCTCTTTAAAGACACTCAGTTACAATTTCTATTAATATATTTGAGTTAGTATGTAATGTTTATTTCTGAAGATTGAAATATTGTCTTATTTAAATGTATTGCGCCATCCAGAGACATCCACTGAAGGTCTTTTTGCAATATCCAAAGCATCATTAACATTTTTCTCAACCCAGTGAGGAACATTTTCTACTTTTAACTAACTGAATGTTTATTTATTATTTCTTAGAATTAATTCTATCAACTGGAATTTAGGAATAGCTTTTTTTTCTTTATGGTCCAAGTTAAGATTTCCTAGTAAAGTGTTCTCTCTAGAACAAAAATGACATTCTTCAATGTATTCAAACAGGATTGTTTCAGAAATTCCTACACTATGAGACCAGCCGTACCAACACTTCTGGCAGCGAGCAATATGATTTCCTTACTCTGTGAGTAGTCCAATCAATGTCAATAATACCATCTGTGAAACACAGATACTATGCAAAGTAAAGGTGAACTGAGCCCTAGAATTTAATCAGTTTAATTACTCAAAAGGATCTTGGCTTGGTATCTAAATTGTGCAGGACAGAATTCTGTAAGAATTCTAGGATCCTTCAGATTGTGAACCGCTACTGCATATTCTGTACTTATTTTTAAAATACTTCAATCCTATTTATATATTTTGAAAGCATTTATATCTGCAGGGATAGATTTTTTTAAAAGTGCTCAGTTTCCAATTATTTACCTAAATGAAGTTACTGGATTTGAAACCTCTCAAGCACCCAGCAGGTCCCACTGTTATACCTATTTCTTTTTAGACCCCATGTACATAAGATTTCCATTTGCCTGCTTGGTAGAAGGGCGATGTCCCAGAGCAATTGACTTCACAGTGCCAAGGCTCAGAGACAGGAGTGATTCATTGATACCTGCCTTCACACATACTGTCAGTGTGCCAAAGGAAAGGTGCAATGTCTTAGTGCGCCTCTGCCAGACCCCCACCCCCACCTACCCAGGAATGGTGCGCTGAGCTGCTTGATCCCATAATGTGCTGGTGCTCGGAGATGAGGCAAGATGTGCGAGTGTATCTAGTCTCATAAAAGGACGGTATCTGTTGCATCAGAAACCTGCCTTCATTTTAAGGGCTGGTTTTGTCTTCCTGGCACCCTTCATGCTTGGTGCTGATGTGAGTAGCCAGAGATGTAAAGGAGCTGAAGTACCTCTTCTCTCCAAGTGCCTACAATTCCAGCATTACACTAAAACAGACATATTGGGCTGTCTCTTGCTAGGTCTATGAGATGAGAGATGCTGTATCCAAACGCATCTCCCTATGGCATCAAACTCTCTGCACTTCTAGATCTCTAATCCTCTTGCCTCAAATTCAGAAAATGTAGCATCCAGCCTTTAGAACCTTCCACTACTGACAAAACTATGTACTGCAACACAACTAGAGAAAATAATTTACATTGTTCAATAGCTGCAGATCACTGGTCCTCCAAATCATCACAGGAAGCATGCAACTGTCACCTGCGGTCCTTACGAAGAACAAGATAAATATTCATTGCACATACACAATTGTCCCTGGCAAAAGTTGGCCGCAGAGACACAGTAATCGCTCTTAGAAAACAAACAGCCCAACAGGTTTCAAGAAGGACTAAGTGCACTCTGGCAAATGTTGGGAGGACACCTATGTCTGAAGCCAAATGAAAAAAAGCCTAATTGGAATGACAAATGAGAGCGCACTAAAGGATCCAGCAGAACTGTCAGAAGTAAATACAGTCTCCAAGAAAAGAGATGGAGCAGCAGTAAGTACACAAAGCTCCAGTGGAGAAGTAAATAAGTTGACTGTAATCATCAAGGGTCTAAGAAGGCCTAAAGGGGGATGGACTCATGCCCAGCTGTCAGTGACTAAAAAGGCTGAACACTTATTAAGAGTTAGGGGCATTCCAACTTGCCGCATCCTCAGACTACAAGACCCCAGCCTTAGACTGAGACTTCTGTCCATATGTTTTTTCACAATTACTGTGAGCAACTGCCTGTAACTTCTTAAAAAATTAGGCTGGCAGAACCAAAGCAGATATACAATATCTGTTCAATTTCAGAGACACGTGAACAAGTTCTCCTTTATTACGTGGGAATGTGCAATATATTATGCTGTTTGTTCTCTAATCATGGTACCAAACTCCAGATGTTCAGCTGACCAACATTGACTTATGATCTCTGCAAGTTAAATTTTAACTTGCCCAATCTCTCAGAACTCCTACGCCATCTGGTCCTACTGACTTATTGCTGATTAATCTGTTTGTTCCAGTCCAGTATCTCTTCTTTCGAAGCCTTTGTTTCTGATAAATAGGTATCATTTCAACATTTTGAATAGTGGATATTGATGCAAAGAGATCACTTAGCTTATGGCCAATGCTTTATCCTTTTTAATTGGCTTCTTTATTCCTGGGTAATCCAGTTTTGACTCACATCTTGAATTGTATTTGCCCAAATCCTCTCCACTTCCTTTTCATATGGTATGCACTGGACAAGAGTAACTCCAGTTATCCAACAATTAATTTACTGCCATCAAAAACAGAAAGTATTAATCAAGACTGGGTTCTTTAATTTAATGAAAATCACAGCACAAATCAAAGTCTCTTCAGAAAAATTCACACAGTAAGTCAGATACTATAAAGCAGAATTGAGCAGATTTGATTTACTGTAATGCTCATGTATTCACACAAATGTCAATGATCTTTGTTGTATGATGATGATTCCACCCCTGACACCTGGAGTCTTTCCCAAACATTATCAACTAGTAAGTTTAGTTAGTTTTTAGATCAAATTTTAGCCCTGCAGTTGCAAATGTTATAATCTGGGCTATATTTTGTTGAAACTCATAAGACATAAAGACACCCTTCATTTAAAACAGCTGAGAGACTGGGGTCCTTACCTGAACAAATTATAATGGAGACCTCTCAGAAATAGGCACCACGTGAGCATTGAAAAGAACTGATTACTCACCATCTTGTAATTGTTCTTCAAAATGGGTTGCTTATGTTCATTACACTGTATGCACGTGTATATCTTATGAACTTGTGCCCTAGTGGTATCCATAGGGGGGCTCCACTTACTCCCCGACTTCCTTGTGTGTTGGAGGGTACAAAGAGCAGAACCACACTGATCATCCTTTAGTTCCTTCTCACTGGGAACCCAATGATACACTCCATAGTGTTGGGGAAGGAGGATGGGTCATGTAATGGACATATTAACACATCTCAAAGAACAAACTGTTACAAACCAAGAAACTGAGCAGCCATTTCTTCTTCTTATTCTAGTGCTTGCATATTCCAATAAACTACATATGACTACTGTTGCAGTGAGAGGCCAAACAAGGGAGAACAAGGGTGTGAACCTGCCCCCAAAAAGCAAATGAATCAACTGGTCGTATATGATGTTATTGAGTATAAATATATGTCAGATAAGATCTTCTATAGAAGCTAGTTTAGAACTTGATTGTCATTTGAAGATCATGGAAGCATTGAAGATTAGGGTTGGAAAAGACCTCAGGAGGTGATCTTGTTCAACCCCCTATTCAAAGCAGGACCAACCCCGACTAAATCATCCTAGCCAGGGCTTTGTCAAGCCAAGCCTTAAAAATAAGATATGTATATAGGATATACTTATGAATTATACATGTAGAAAATCGTAATTGTGGCTAGTGTGTGCATCACCTATTACAGCATCACCTCACAGGAGTATGCGGAAGCAATCAGGCAGGGACACCTCCCAGGCAAATTGCTTACATGAAACTAACACTGAACACCTAGTATTGTACAATCCAGGGAAAGACAATTGTGAACCATTAAAGTAATGGAAAGACATTGAAAGTGAAAAGAGAACCCCAATTTTGGAAAAATTAAGACAATGTCTACAATAGCATTTATGTGAATAAAACATTTTGTTGTTCAGGAGTGTGAAAACCCCCACACCCACGCAACATAAATGTTGCCAGTGTAAGAGGCTCTCCTGCTGAGCACGTTTTATTATGCTGACAGAAGAGCTCTCTCCTGTTGGCAGAATATGGCCATTTAAGAGTTCTTACGGCAGTGCAGCTGTATCAGTAAAACTTTGCCTCTGTAAGCATAGACATGGCCGAAAGAAGGAAGGAAGGAGTTTCCTCCACTCTATGCAAATGTGAATTACCTCAGTCTGAAAAATAGAAGACAAAACACTGCAAAACTGGTTCAAAGGGAAGGGGTGTGATGTGAATGTTATCCAAATACTTAGGGCCAGTATCTAAGAATGACACTGGCTCCTCTCTATAACAGAGGCAGGCCCCCGGGGGGGGGGGGGGGGCAGTTGCCCTGGGAGCTGGCAATTCAAAAGGGTGCAATAACATATATAATAGTTCTGAGCTGCTGTCTGCTACTGCGGCAGTGTGGCAGTCAGAGCCCCAGCCCTTTAAATCACCACTGAAGTGCCTCACTACACACTCCATGCTGCTCTGAGGGCTGCCAGGGGAGGGGATGCCTCATGCCCTGGGCAGCATGGAGGGCTGGCTGATCCTGGCCCTTCTGCCAGAGAATCTGCCCCCACACCTTGCTCAGGGGCCCACACAAGCAGTTTTCTCCACTGGAGAGAGGGCATGCTCAGAGACTGTTCACAGGCAACAGACTAATGGAGTGGAAAGTCTGAGGTTGCATCTTTATATTTATCGTCTAGGTAACTAGGATGTATCGGCTTCTTACTGTGTCATCTTTGAGTCTCATGTTTCTATTCCATAAACTTTGCTTATGTGCACCCTATATAGCACTCCGTTGTGCAATATTGGGGGGGGAGGAGGAGAGAAAGCATGAAGCCCCCAGAGTACTGATACCTGAAGGCAGGTTTCATTCCTTCGGGGTGACAAAGCAGAAAAGAAAAAATTTCCAGTGTCTGGTAGTCAAAACTTGGAGAACAGATCTGGGGAGACTCAGGCCAGAAAGAAAGGATGGAAGCCAGAGCAAGACCCTTTTCTTGTAGGCTGGCTACTGGTGTTGGGGCTCTGAACCATGACAGCATAGAGGCTCACAACATTACAAGGTAGGAGGTGACAGACCCTCTCCCTCATCTGGGTGATCCCCAAAATGTCACAACTATAAAGCTTTTATCAATAGAGATTGGGCTAGGAATTTCACCACAAGATGGACCCTGGGTTTAGGTTTTTTTTCTTGCATTTGTGTCTTCCCGTGATGTAGCAGAAATTGCATAATAGTTAACAAACATGTTGATCGAGGCCCTACTCACCACTCTACAGAGGTGAACAATATAAACATTTCCCGCAAAAGCAGTAAGGATGAATGAGAGCACTCTGGTTGAATTCATGCACAGCTTCTCAGGAAAAGTCATGTCTTTGGAAGCACAGGTGTGACAATGCAGCTTGTAATCCATTTAGAGAGTCATCATGCTGCAATAGGATGACTTCTTATTTGCTCTGCATGAGATACAAAGATCTGCAAAGGAACCCAGAAGAGTTTTGTTCTGTCCAGGTAAAAAGCTAGGATTCAGTGCACATCTAAAGTATGCAGCTTTTGGTTCATGCTTGGGAGCATGTGACTTTGGAACAACTAGGCAAGTATATAAAACTGGAAATCAGTCCTCAGAAGGAGTTGGATTCCTGTTAGGTGGAAACTTCACAGATTTTCCTGGCTTACACACCAATTCAGAGATGACTATACCCTGTCTGTGAGGCACACTAACCTGTCCAGATGTTGAACCTCAGAGTGGTAGATTGATTTGAGCCATGCCTGAATCCCTGAATTTGTAGCCCAGCATGAGGTTGTCCTGAGTGTACCAGAAATCGTGTCACCTACGAGCTTGGAGCAATTCCTCATTGTGGATTGTGGCTGATCCTTGAACAACGTATGAAGGTTTGTCATACCAACTATCAGATCTTTAAATATTAGTACTATTGCAAAGTATTTATTTAAAAATACTCATTAAACATGAACATGAGCTAAAAACAGTTTACACAATTCTGAGGACCTCCCATTCAATAATACAAAGAAAAGTAAAGACAAGCTTTGGGAGTGTAATTAACTTAAGGCATATTGAAAAGATAAAGGAAACTACATTTTTAAAAGCCTCTTTATTTTCCTTCGCCATTATTGTTTTACAATACAAATATCACTTTGTGAATACACAAAAACCCTACAGAAGATAACTCTGCTTCACATAAAATACAGAATGGATTATCTTCTTCATTCTTAAAAATTTATTTTGTTCTGCACATTGGCAAGTATAGCATAGAATACTTCCCCAAACATACAGTATGTATGGTAGGAATGAAAATTAGAGGTACATGCAGCTTCTGCACAAATATATTTTAAAGAAATAGATTATTTTTGTTGTTTTTCAACAAAATTATCAAATGGATGGAAAAACTATTCAGTTTGAAGTTAGTGAGCATCTGCAAAACTCATGAAAAAGGGATCCATGGCTGTTGCTTTGATATAGTTAAAATCTAGCTATTGAGGAGACAGTAAAAACAATTTAAACCTTAAATTTTACAACACCTGCCCACAATGTGTGAGCAAGATCCAAGTCTTTGATTTGGTTTTTCCCTACTAACAGCAATTTCAATAATTTAAGTACATTTCCAGTTTAATTTAGCTATAAATGTAAAATTTATTAATGTATACAGTACATATAATTGTGTTTTCAAGGAACATTTTATTTTAAATAAAAACATTTAAGACTGCCTACTGACCTTACAATCAAGACAAGAAAGGCACTAGAAACATAGACAAATCTCTCTCTCTTCCAAGAAGCATTTTTTATTTTAATTCTCTTTTCTATGACATGTAAAAATCTTTTTAAATTTAGTTTTCATACACATTTTGAAAAATAAAGTTAGGAAATACTTAGAAAAATCACTTTACAACAGAATATTATTTTTTGCACTTTTTGACACTCACTGCAGATTTTACAAAATCAAAAGTTACTAAACCTTTCTGTGTCTATCACTTAATTCGTAACATTGGTGTAACAGGTAGAAAGTTTTAATTTTTCCCCAGTCAGGTATTTAGAAACCTTCATATAGATATTTGCTAGAAAATGGCTTACAGCCCAATCTTTGGGGCAAGAGATATGAAAAGTATGTTTTCCCAAGAAAATAATACATTTTATTCCCAGATGTGACTGGAAAGACCAGAACATGATATAAAAGTTTTCATTTATGCTGTCGCATCATATACAAAGGAACATGGTGATGGGTAATGTAAATCCCAAATCTATTAACAAGAAATGTATACAGTGCATGATAAGTTAAATTTTCTTTATTGTTGTCCAACGCAGATCCTTTGGAGAGAAAAAAAGATCACAGTGCTTACCAGGTAACTGAATAGGTTAAGTCAAGGTAATGGTTAAAAGATAAAGGATTAGGGAGCAGTTCGCTTTGTATGGCATCTTCTCTCACGGAGTTCTGAACACTTTGGACAGTTCCTTCCCCGCATTGTTTACAGCTGTTATGTGTCATTCACCAATTTGCTGTATTTAGCTTGCCTACTCAGGTGCAGCACCGGCCGGGGGAAGGGCCAATGGTAAGAGCGAGGTACAATTCCTTGAACATTCTTTTCAAAATACTGGAAGGGCCTGTACCACCACACCCGTGCAAGGAGGTTAGTTTGGGAAGCTTCCTTTAGCACCTGCACAAAGATAATTAGGAAAGAATGATTACAAACAAGCACAGTAATTTTTCCTTTAACTTATTGCATTGTTTGCCACTATCCTTCTGCAGTTTTCCACTAATGTATTATTTCGATTTACATAGTATCTGTCTCTTATCTCTACTCACATTTGTGTTAACGATATGAACCCATACCCAAACCAACTTACATTGACATAACTTTGGTATGACAAAAAATAATTATTTCTCACATGCTTCTTATCTACTGCCCCTCAAAATCTCTCTGCCCTATCCTTCCTTCCTCTCATAGAAGTACAAATAAAGAGTACATTTCCTAACAGTCGAATTGCAGCTCTGCTGGGTCAAGAGAGACAATAAGATATGGACTGCAGAGCCCTCTGAGAACTCCCTGTCTTTTGGGAGCTGTCAGCTCCACAGGAACAGCAAGTCTCAACTGTCAAGGAGTCATCCTAGATGAGAGACTTTTTAAAAACACCTGGATGAAGAATGTTGCAGATTAAAAGAACCATCTAAATACCCTCATGCACAAATCAAGCCAGTTTTATGGTATAAAGGCAAGCTTCTTGTGTGAAACTAGGGATGTGAAAAACTATCTGACAAGCAAATGCTTACTGGGTAGTTGACACACTAGTCGACTAGTCGCTTTCCACCTACCTCACTGCCTCTCTCAGAAAGAGGCGGGAGTTGGGGGGGAGGGGGGAGAAGGGAGGGCAGGAGGTGCTTCAAAGTGGTAGCACTTTGAAATGCCACAGGAAGCACGGGGCCAGCAGTGGACTGCCTGAGTCTCCTGCTGGCCCTGTGCTCCCCAAAATGCTTTTGCCTTTGCAATGTAGCAACAGCCCTGGGGCTACTGCTACACTTCAAAGGTGGAGGCGCCCTGACTGACTAATCGAATAGTCAATGCAAACTGCATCAACTATTCGATTAGCCGATTATTCTAAATTTAACATCCCCATGTGAACCACCAGTAAATATTTTGGCGTTCAAACAATGCGGCAGTTAAAGTTTCCGACTGACAAGCTCTTATCTTTTCAGAAACTCAGTTTAGAGATTACTAAAGCCTTAATGACTCTGGGGAGAGTTAAACCTAAAGGAAGAAAAAGTCACAAACCTGCATCTAAATGTCAAAACGCACACACAATTTCTGTAAACATCTGGGAATCCAGAAATGGTTAAGGAATCAACACAATCTAAGGTTGCCAACTTCAGGACATGTCTACACAGTCCTACTGTTTAGACTAAGGGGTGGTGCCAACGGTAGTGCACACCAAGAAATTGCTGCACTATGATTCCTGTAGTGGAAGCGAAATTAAAGGCCCTAATGTTGCATCTGTGAGAAATCAAGATCTTTACAATTGTGCCTATAGCATCCACATGGGGGAGTTACAGCGCAGTACTTTGGTCGCACTACTGTTCACATCACTCTTTAGTCTGAAATGCGGGGCAGTGTAGCTATGTCCTCAGCAAGAAAAGGAAGACACTACACAACACACTTAAAAGGCCTACTTTCCCTAATCCTCTAACACCTCCTGACTCTTGCCTTGGGTCAACTTTAGCCAGTCAACTTTTGGACAGACACCAAGGAAGCAAAGCAACCACTGCTGTTTGGTGATTCAATGAATAAGTGACTCCAGTACCAAACTGGGCATGCACCAAATTAGCCCAATTAGGGAATATAGACAAGAGGCCTATGCAACAATATGTTATTTTCATTCTATCCGTAGAGGATCACAGTCAAGATATGCCCATTCCAGTAAATCCAGATTAGAATTGGGAGATCTCCTTTGCCTCTAACATAGTCGCTGCAGGTGGATGCTTGGTAAGGACACCCAGGACAAACTGAAAAAGACATTTAAAGGATATTTTCTTCACTTGAATGTAAACTCAATAGTCCACACCCATCACTATTGTATGTCTCTCTCATCACAAAAAACCCTTCTGCTGGGGCCACTCCAGTTGGTATAGTCTCACAAGACTAGACAGATTACCTTTAATCTCTATTCTCCCAAGCATAACTTAATGATTCCCAGAACCAATATATGCAGATTTTACATCACTGTGAAAATTGGACGACAGGATAACCAATGGTATTCTGAGCAACAAAGGAGAACATTTCTTATAACAAGACTTTTGTGGTGTACGTTCCAACACTAAACTTTATGTTATATTTCACTTCACTAGGTTAAAATTGAAAAATGCATTGATTCATTTTCTGAGAGCTGTAACATCATCAGTACCAAGTTTGTATGACAATCTAAAAAGTACCGTAGTGCTTTAAAGCTTGCATTACTTTTTAATATTAGCAACTTAAAACAATTTTGCAGCTGGCATTAATTGCTAAGACCATATATTGCCATCTTTTCCACAATAATTCTATACATATAAATTTTCACTTAGTTAGAAACTTTGAATATATACTAGAAATAATGGAATATTGATGATTCACAGAACATTAATATTTCATCATTGTACATAGGTCCTAGTTAAGCATGTATTCATGTGCTTTGCTGAACTGGACCTACAGGAGGCATCTAAGAAGAGAATGGGCTAAAGGATATATAATTAGGATCTGAATTTTCCACATATAATACTTTTACACTGACCTATTATCTTATCTTAGATGTTATGAAAATCAGCAAATAGTTTTGAGTAAAAACAGGTACTAAATTTTTTCCCAAGTCTGGAGTCAGTCAATGGATTTTCCATTTAAACCAGAACTCTACATTACTGAGCCTTGGCTAACTAAATTTAAAAAATAAGTCAGTCGGTACTGTTATTAGTTTAACTATACAAGACCCTTAAACATACGACAGAATTAAAATGATGAGATTTTAAAACAGACTTAAATCAATTACGTCTGTCTTCTGATTTTTGAGCATTAAAGTTGTGAAAAATCATATTTCTCTACCTGTTCCACATCCCTTTTTGCTTTCCACATTTCTATGTTATTTCTTTTTGCATTTCATATTTCTGTCTCCCTTCTGCCAGTCCTCTTTTATTCTTTAGCTCACTATTCTCTCCCATAAGTTTTACTATCACCTGCCTGGACCACACATGAAAAATGTAGGCAGCCTGGCTTTTGATTCACTTTCAATGGGAAAAAGGCAACCATCTCTACTAGGTGCAACTTCACTTCCACTTGCAGATGCTTTAAGACAATGACTCTCTTACCAAGAGCAGCCTGGCTTCAGACCCATCAAAAGTAATGATGGCAGACATTTTAAAAATGTCTGCAAGTGCATAGGCAGGCTCCAGAACATCTGGAGATCGAGGAAGCTTTACCTCTCTACCATTTTATTATGGAGTTGTGCTAAAAGTGGACAATTTTGCTTTCTTCACATTGCCCAAAATTCAAAACCACACATCCTTCAAAAAAGAAAATTAAATAAAAAATAAAGGTGGCCTGCTTCTTTGGGATCATGCCTTCCTGCATTTTTGCTCGTCATGACAAGAGTGATGGAACCCCAAGGGAAGGGAAAAAATAAACCTGTTATGCATCTCTGCCATCACTGGAATTTCTGTAGTTCTATTATCTTAAGTGTTCTATACAAGCTTGGATTTTACAAATTCCTGGGGTTTGTCTTCTCCTCTTGCCTGCAAGGCACAATATGAAGGTAGAAGAATCCATTCTTATTTCCTGGTTAAAAGTCTCAAAACAACATATCAGAATTCATCCACTGATGTTTTAAAGAAGGAGATGAAGAGCCAAGGAGAACCAAATATTTGAGGGAAAACTCACTTGCTGATTGGCCATTGTGTGATACCACCAGAAAAGTCTTGTAGTGATGTAGTAAGCCACCACTACATCCACAGTGTAGTGGTCATGAGCCAAGAGAATACAGAACATCCCAATGATGCTTAGAGCCCAGCAAATCCAATGATACCACCAAAGTCGCCGAGGTGAATCTGAAAACAAGTGAAAATAAACATTATGTCATCACATAAAAGAGTGCTGATAACATTACTTAAAAACCCTGATTAATTACTCTGGACACCAATAATTTACAATTAGAAACAGGAGATTGTTAAACGACAACAATTGTGCGCGTGAATTGCACAATAAGATTGACTGTAATTATAGTCATGACATCAGACCTAATGTTTGGGAAAGGAATGATCGGATTGCAAAATAACAAAATAATTAATGTTTACTTCTCAATTTAAAAATGAAGCAGGACAATTTTTTAAAATGTATTCACAGGTGTGGGAGTAAAAGCCTAGGACACTGAGCCTGGTATAAAATCTGAGGCCTAACCCATTTTCAGCAAAGTTAACGCATGTCATGAACCAAAGTCAGGCAATGTATGAAACCCAATGCTACAAGTTTACTGTCCAATACATGACTTTGGTGAAATTATTACTAGTATTGCTAAAACACAGGCCCCTAAGAAGCAACAGAGACTGGGTATGTATGTAAACACACTCCAAAATACTACCCCAGCTACACTGTGATACTACTACACTACCCCACTAGTTCGAACTAGGGGGGTAATGTAGGCATACCGCACTTGCAAATGAAGCCCGGGATTTGAATCTCCCGGGCTTCATTTGCATAAGCGGGGAGCCGCCAATTTTAAAACCCCGCTGGTTCGAACCCCGTGCAGCGCGGCTACACGGTGCTTGAACTAGGTAGTTCGGACTAGGCTTCCTATTCCGAACTACCGGTACACCTCGTGGAACCCACGCTGCAGTTTAAAAATGGCGCCGGCCGGCTTCATGCAAATGAAGCCCGGGAAATTCAAATCCTGAGCTTCATTTGCAAGTGCGGTATGCCTACATTACCCCGCTAGTTCGAACTAGCGGGGTAGTGTAGACATACCCAGAGTGTGAGAAAAGTAATAAATAGGGATATTTTGCAGAGATGTCTGGAGCAAGGTACAAGGGAAGGTAACAAACAGATGTTACGAAACACATAAGGTAATACAAAAATGTTGAGTCTACAAATGTCAGGTTACTTTGCTTTAACTCCCTTTAAGTGGCTATGGGGATGGTAGAGACTCTCACTGCTGACACTGGACACTCATGTATTTGAGTACTTGTAACCACAGAGTTATAGCCTTCGTACTGTGCCTTGAAAGCAATAAACCCATCTGAATGCATCTGTCACTGAATTGTGCATGTGGTCTTTCTTTCTGGGTACAGTAAAACCTGTGTTATCCAGCACGCTCGAGGATTAGGGCATTCCGGTTATCTAAAAATTCCAGTTATCTGAGGGTCCCATCAACTAAAAACCAATGGACAATAATAGTAAAACTCAAGTTTTTAATATTGGTAGTTTTGTAGTGTGAGGCAGTTGGTCTCACATTTCTATTTTGAGTTAAAGATGATTAGTACTTCTTCAATAAAAATTGTTACGCCAATCATGGTAAACCAAACCAGGCCTGTGACAGTACTGTGGCTGCAGGCAATGCTGGTTAACAAAGTTTTCTGGTTAACAGAGTGCCGGATAACAAAGGTTTCACTGTAGTACCATTGAGGTTTGCTGAACCAACTCTGTGCTAAGACAGCATACACAGAGCGCAATATGCATTAAGGATGTTAAATAATGATTAATTTACTAGTCGAGTAGTTGATGGGATTTCCATTGACTATTTGACTAGTCAACAGGCACTTCCGCGTTCCTCCTTTGAAATGTACAAGGACCCAGCAAGGGCTCTTCTGCATTTCAAAATTGCAACACCGCCTGCAGCCTGGTGCCAGCAGGAAGTCCTGCTAACTCTGGGCTCCACGTGGGAGCTTCCGCTTTGAAATGCACAATAGCCCTCTTGTGTATTTCAAAGTGGAAGCGCTCGCGTGGAGCCCGGAGTCAGCGGGACTTTCCGCTGGCCCCAGGCTGCACGCGGCGTGCCAGCTTTGAAATGTACAAAAGTCCCCAGCGGGGTCTCTTGTGCATTTCAAAGCGGAAGTGCTCACATGGAGCCTGAGGTGAGTGGGACTCAGACTCCCCCACTGACCCGAGGCTCCATGCATCGCTGCTGCTTTGAAATGCATGGAGGTCAGCTTGGGACTTTGCAACTCATCCCGGGATCTGTGCAGCATTTCCCTGGAACCCAGGGTCAGCTGAGGAGTCCTCAGCTGATCCCGGGCTCCACTTGGCATTTCAAAGCAGCAGTGCTGCACAGAACCCAGGATCAGCTGGGGACTCCGGGTTCTGTAGAAATGTCGCAGGGAGACTGGGGTCAGCTAGGGAGTGCCCAGTTGACCCCGGGCTCCACGTGGTGCTACCATTTTGAAGTACCCTCTCTTCTTCCCCTTTGCTGCCTCTATCTGCCTCGCTTCTATTTTTAATAAGAACGAATAATGCAAGTATGAATCATACAATAGTGTTTTATTCCCTTTTCACCTGTTTTCCATATTCCATGAAGCATCTATTATTGTCTTACATTACTGAATACACTTGAACAAGCTGTTTTTTTCACTTTAATTCTAGTAATGGATCAAGATAGCAAACATTTTTAGTCATTAGTTATATATAAAATTGAAGTCCATAAACAATGCAATGCACTCACACTCTTTGATAAATAAATACGTAAGTGTTAACATGACTGTGTGGCCACTGTAGAGATAGTCACCGCACATGTTGTGGGAGCCTGTGATAGACAACCCCCCACCGGCAAGCAATTTCATTATCCTCCTCAGGTGAGACTCCCAATCACCAAAGAGCTGGAGGAAAAAGAGAAGAATATATTTAACCAAGGTTATTTCATACTACATTAAAAATATGAAAGGTTAAAGATTATAAGAGAGGGCATTACTCTACTGTATGTCAAGCATTTCCAATACAATGTCCAACAAGTCTGACTTCCATAGATGCTAACAGGAATTGAGGATGCTTACTAATTATTGTGATCAGGCCCTTTAACTTGGTAACTTCGCACAAGACATTAAATGAGAAAAAAAATTGGTTCCAAAGATTCCTACCAAATATGTCCAGGGCAAAACAATGAGAATTTAAGACTACAATACATAAAAATAGTGACAAAATAATGGAATTGTTTTGGCCAAATGGCATCGGCAAGATGGTGTCAGCTGGCGGGAGCCTGATGTGGCCAAAAAGCCTAACCTGCGGTTTTCAAAGGGGCAGCGTCCTTTTTCTTTTTTTGCTCAACAACTCTGGCTGCTGGCTGTGATACTGGATCAAAGCGGTACTGCCATTACATCTAGCAATTAATATGCCATGACTTTAGAGTGATATCAGTTATGGTAACACTAAAAGAGGAAAGAGGAAAAAATTTTCTCTGGTATTTATAAATATTTGTAAGTGCTCCCATTTAAGACGCTCTTTTGCAGATGTTTTGCTGGCAACATACAATAATGTTCATTAATGTAAGGAAAAATGATTCTAGTGGGAGGTCTTTAAATTCAGGTAATTGTTTACTTTGCTCAATGGGAGCTACAAGACTGCTTCATATGCCTTGTACATATAGTGTGGAAATGTGAGAAAGCAGGAAAACAATTCCTAGCAAAATAGCTTTTCTATCATCTTTATAGGTCCATAAAATAGTGGTCACTCTTTCTCATGGATAAATAGCGAAGGGATTAATCAACCAGGCAAATAATTGTACAACAACAGAAAATGTCTTCCAAATGTAGCTTTTTTCCCCCTCTAAGAATGAGACAGAACCCAGAAGCTAAGGTCAGGCAGTCAAAATAACAAACTGAGACTTAAAGATTAATCAAATGTATATAGTCTTGCCTAAATCTAATCCCTACAATAAATTAGGAACCCCTGGAGCTGACAGCTCTGAGTTGAGGGCAGAGGGAGTGTGGCAGTGAACCTTTCTGGGTCCTGCAAATTCCCTGATTTGAGACCAGTCAGGTTCCAAATGTGTTGGACCAGGGACGTCCAACCTGTACTGCATTTCTAGTTCTTTTGTATCATCTTTACAAGTTCACTCAAAGATCAGCAAGAAACATAGGATATTGACCTTATGTTCAGTGAGTGCTAAACAACGACACATTCGATCACTGTGTGGGCTGTCCCTGTCCCTCTGGCTGTGGAGCCAGGTCACCTATGCACAAGTTTAATATAATTCAATGTTTTCTTCATCGGGATGCTGAGCAGCTCTCAAACAGAAGACCAGGAAACACTATCACTTATTGACTATTGTCCGCTCTTTCCAGCAATGCAGAAAAACTGAAGGGTGATGCCTTAGCTGTCATTTGAGGAAAGCCAATCTGTGAACTATCTATCTATACCCTCTCATCTCCTCAAAGAAGGAAAATAAAACCATCCCTGTCTACATTACACTCCTCTAAAGAGTGACTGAAAAAAACATTTTTTCAGGTAACTATTTTGCAGTAAGGACAGAGAAAGAACAATTTACCCAGTGGTGTTTGGCTTGTACAAAATTCCCCTGCCTGTCACAAGTGTGCAGATGCACTGGGATGAGTAAAATGTGTAAGCTATGTCAAGAAGCTGGGGAGACTAGCTAGAAAAAAGAAGAAAGACAGTGACTGCGAAGAAGTGAGATTAATGAAGAAGAGTAAAAAAGGAAAGATGTAAGAAAAGGAAAGATAAAAACAGAAGAAACAGACGACACAATGCAGAGAAAGTGAGGAAAGAAAAATAGATGGAGGGGGAGAAAAAGGTTAAACAGGGACAAGCAGGTAATGAGAACTGAACAATGGAAGAAGCCCCACACTGCCTCATTATGACTATTAATGACTGCAATATGAAGAAAAAATATGATGTGAAAGACAGGAAAGAAGTTAGAAAAAGGCAGAGTTGTGCAGTGCGTGTGTTTTTTAAAAACACATTTTATTAACTAAAAAGATGATTGCCAAAGTACCAAAGTGCATGTAAAACCATAGTCAAACAAATCCATAAAACAAATGAATTTATAAGTTGTGGAAAGCTTGCTTATAATACTTAAGCATTCAGTCACAATGTTACACATATTCCACATTCTGCCAAAGGATACAGACAGATGAGACTCATCCAATTCACACTGACATGAAACGATTGAACTTTTCAACAATACTATAATTTATATTTACAGCAGATACAAATGGCAAAGCATATAGGTTATGTTCTTTCATCTGGGAAGTACAAGTTGGAGTTAAGTTTCAGCATTATAGTACCTCCCTGCCCCGGGTCTGAAGCAACTAACAGCGTACAGGATTCTCTTATCTCTGGTGAAGTTCTGGTTCTTCTGAGGCTTACTATCTCCCATAAACTTCAGATAGGCCTCTCTAACCCCAAGCAAAAGTTGATATCAGGATGATCTTTGTCCATCTTTTACTGTTAGCCTTTCCTCTCATTGTGATTTTTACTGTTGACTCTGTCCTCCATGCTGCCCAGAACACATGCACCGAGCACCCATTAGTCTTGAAATTGTGCTTCCCTTTCCTAGCAGCACTGGCTACTTGATAAGGCTTCTCTGGCTCTTTGGAATGGGTTTCACTGCAAGCAAACCACAGGCAGTTTGACTGTGAAATTTAAATGCACACACATTAATTTGTTTCAATTCAAACAGTAGGTGGAAGGGCCAGGTGGATTTCCACATATCTGACTGGATTTCTCTCTTCCTCCTGATATTTAAACTATCATGAAATGAATAATTTAGGCTCAAAAATACTTCTAGATAGTTTTGTTTGTTTAAATTTTGCTTTTTGGAATGCACCACATGACATTTAAATAAATGCATTACCAAGCAAGATGCTAAACAAAGGTTTTACTCCTCCCAGAAAATTAATAAGTATTTTATGGAATGTTCATAAGATATTGGCCAGGCTGCTCATACCTGGACAGCAACTCATATATTTTCCTTTATTCAAAATAGGCCACTAATAGAAGTAAAGGATTTTAGTTTACATTTTGTTGCAAGCATAACAGGGGCACATTAGATTCTTATCTGATTCAAAGAAAAGACTGTATTTCACACCTACAAACTCTAATTTTTAAAGAGGTTCACATCCTAAAGTAACCATAGTAACCATTTAAGAAATAGGCAAAACATGTACTGTTTGAATTAGTTACTAAAGAATATATTTGTCTTCTGAAAACTAATATTCCTTAACTTTAGAGTTCATTCTTGTTTTAAAAACTCAACGAAGGCATGAATTGTACTTTTCATATAGTTCTAGGATTAAAGATCTGTTTGGCATCTTTCCTGGTGATGATAAAAACTTCCTGCATTACCCATAAAAGCCTATATGCTCACAAACGCCTAATCTTCTCTTTCAAATTATGTCTGATGAAGTTAAGGAAATGACAAAGTGATTTTGGGAATTAAAAGTATAGTTATATTGCTTATATTTTATAAGGAAGCCCCATAGAAAGATCAAGAAAAGCTAATCAACCAAGCATAGCATAGGTTAGTCCTTCTCATAAAGGTGACTTAAAATGTTGGCAATTCTAATTTCTGTTGAAATAAATAATGTTCCTTTTCTGAAATGGCACATTTACTCAAGCTTGAAATTACAGTATCTGGTTTCTTTTTAACTTATAGTGACTCACTATTTAACTGACTGATCACCCATTTTGCTGATTTCTTCTTCTCATGTCCCTACCCATTCTTCCATTTACACAGGCTTATGTCTCCAAGCAGCCACATACGGTTTGGCAAAGTCAACAATGTCGTCAAATAAATGCTAATTTCCATCATGGGTCAGCATACACACTGGAAAATTTTTTCTTAGAAACCAAATGTTTTGGGTTTGTCTACTTTGAGACCATTTAGGCATTTTTCTGCCCTAGTGCAGTTCCCCCATAAAAGAACAGTTGCAATAACAGTGTAAACTAGACTCAGTGGTGTTGGATTTTTAAGATTCCCATTAACTAATTCTGCTCTGCAAATGGAGTTTCACCAATAGAGAAAAATGTGGATGAAGCCATAGAGTGTTTGTATGGCAGAGGTTTTAAGTAGGGTGATTACACAAGAGTAAGCGAGCACTATACCTGCCTACAGTTTTTGTGGTTTCAGGGGGTAGCCGAGTTAGTCTGTACAGGTAAACTGAAAAAACAACAAATAATCTGGTAGCACTTTATAGACTAATAAAACATGTAAATGGTATCATGAGCTTTCATGGGCACAGCCCACTTCTTGCTCATGATACCATCTACATGTTTTGTTAGTCTATAAAGTGCTACAGGACTATTTGTTGTTTTTTCAGTTTACAGTTTTTGTGTCGCTTAAATTACAGTTTTTGTGTCGCTTAAATTATATTGGTTTCAAACTGGATGAGTGAATTGGTACTGTATAATCCCCTGAGTACAGATGCAATTACACCTACATAAAAATATTTATGGTAGGATAGCTTAGTCTTGCAAACATAGGGGAGTAAGGAGAGCTGGTTGGGAATTTGGTGTCAGAAAATCATTAAGTCAGAAAATTTACTGACCACAAAAATCCATTTTTTTTGTTGAACTAACTTGTAACAAGACATTCCAGTTGAACTCAATCAGGAGAAATGAAACATTGTGATTTCAGGAATGCTGAAAGGTTTTGTTTCAATTGAAAAAGGAGAAACCCTGTCAACATATCTGAATTTAACTGTTTTGGAATATGTAAAATTTTCTTTTCAAATTGGGATGCAAACACATGTGCTGAAACACATTTCCTATGGGATGGAAATTTCAAATTTTGCCTAGCTCTTAAAAGAAGCTGCAGTGGTATATGACACCTTTATATCAATAACTGCATCTCACTATAGGACGTATAAAACTCCACTATCTCAAAAAATACAGAAGTAAAAGTCACACTCCCTAATCAAAACAATAATAAACCAATACAAAAACTGTAAATTAGTCCTCAGAAGTGAGTGCTTTCCATCTTTGGATGATTAGCACTATGGCTGACAAAGTTGCAGCATCCACAATCTATGAAAAAAGTCCTTGTCATTTCAACTTGAAATGAAGAGGTCTGTTCACAGCTATTCATGATCTCTGGAGTACAGGAGAAGAATAGAAGCTACAAAATAGAACTACGGTGAGAAGAACTTACCTTCGGAGAACACTTGAAATGCATGCCAGGTACTGGGAGTGTAGTTACGTACATTGTAATACATCGATACAGGTATAGTGTCCCAACTATACAGAAAAATCTTCTGCTAATAATAGACCTGGAAAACAAGGAAAATATGAAATTCTAGGAAATAAATTCTACCAATATTTGTCTAAAACATGAAAGGAATCAGTCTAGAATATCAAGTTGCTAATTCAAACTCAGTAACTTTAATAATACTTTATGCATCTACATTAAGGATGTTAAGGACTAGTCGATTCCTCCCCCCAGCTGCCTCTATCAGATAGAGGCAGAAAGGGGGAGGGGGAAGAGGGAGTACTTCAAAGCGGTAGCGCCACACAGCTGATCCCCAGTTCAGCTGTGCGGCGCTGTTCCTTTGAAATGCTGACTCAGCCCCTCTGGGGCTCTCGTACATTTCAAAGAGGAATGCGGAAGTGCCTATTGACTAGTCTAGTGAATTAACTGCTAGTTAACATCCTTAATCTACATTAGCTTTCATCTAAAAATATTTAAGAACTCTGTAAACAATAATATATCCCCACAGTATATATCCCCATTTTACAGGTGTGTAACAAGTACAGAATGTAATTAAGATAATACAGTATCTCAGTGCTAGAACTCAGTATAAACCCAGAATTCCTGCCTTTTAGTCCTGTGTTTTAAACATTGACCCATGATCTCATGCTACCACCATCTATATTTTTGAGAAAGTTTATCTGTCTGTCTGTCTGTCTAAGAACTTCTCCTAAACGGTAAGAGCTAGGGCTAGCAAATTCAGTATAAAGCATCCTCTTATCATAACTTAAAGCAGCATAAAGGCTTGGCTGTGCCAGGAAAATGGGATATGCTTGGAATGGGATTGCTTCTCATAAAAACACAACAGAAAAGAGACAAAATCACCAGATCGAGGATAGCCCTCAAAATTGACATAATTAAGTGAATGTTGAAAGAGGGCTCAAGGAGGGGGTGCCTCACCCTTCACCCCCAGCCCTGGAAGCTTCTTACTTAGGCTGGGGGAAAGGCACTTCTTCCCTACCCCACCCGTGACTTCTCCATGCTGGAGCCAGAAAAGCCCCTCCCCCAGTATGGCTGGGGTAGTTCTCTCTTCCTGGGTCAGCCTGCATACACCCTCATCTCCAACCCCACCCCAAAGCATGCACACTTTTATTTTATTTTCCAAAAAACAAAAATTGAGTTAAGAATCCGAGCAACACAGGGTAAATCTGCTAGTTTCTTATAAATACAAAAAACCTCCTACTTTAAAGTTAGAAAACAAAGTCACTCCATCTTTACTCTTTCTCACAAGCCATATTAAACTAGTAAGCTTAAATCTTGGTAGTATTTGTGCAACCCCGGAGCAATATTAAAGATCCTAAACACTGTATCTCCACAATATTAAACTTAGAGTAGATTAAGAATCAGAATTAAATTTGCACTGAATAAAGCAGCAAAAGTGAAAACATTTTCATTACAAAGGGGTTGTTTTAAATGAAATAGCTAATATGACCAAAATTATCCAAAGAAGCCAAATTCCTTTAGTCTCTGGAGAATATTTCTGCATCTATGAACAGCGCAAAAGAAGCAAGTCACATTAGATTTATTCATATATATTAAAAATGCTACTGCAATCCAAAATACAGAAATACAATTATTACAAAGCTGAATTAGACCAACCAGGTTATATACTCTAACTGGAAGCTCTTTGAGATGTGTGGTCTTTATCTGTATTCTGCACATGCATCTGAGTGTGGACGTTTTAGTAAACAGTGTCATTTGGCTCATCTATGCAGGAACATGCAGCGGGTCTCCTTGTGCTTATGACTGAGGATATTTGAGGTAGTACTGATCCCTCAATTCCTCTTCTCATTGTGCATCTAACTAGACCTGAAGTTGAGGGAATAGAGAGTGGGTAGTAGAATACAGATAAGAAGTAGAAGATAGACCACTTCAATGAATGAAAAGTCATTTGTTTTCTCATTAAAGAGGTTCAACTCATCAAAGGGAAGGTCTTGGGTAGTATTCTGCACTTCTCTGGGAAAGCCTTAGGTTTGCAATCAATAATCCCTCTTCATAACACTACCAGTGGCCAAGCTTTTGGATGTTGTATGTATCTGTTATATCAACTTCAACCTAGAGAGTTCTTTTTGCCACTAACTTGCCTTCTTTTAGAAAGAAGATGAATTGGATTCTGTCATCTGGGAAAAGTTTGTCCTGAAAGCCGGTCAGACTCAAATAATTACTGAAGTCCTAAAAGATCCTGGTCATTGGCAATGTGGAACTGCAAGCCTAGAGATGAGAAGACTGTTCTCTACAGGAGGTCCAGTCTCTTGGAACCCTTGTCTAACAGAGTGGGCTTTGGCTATTGTCCTTTCAATAGCAGCTTGTACATCTAGGGAGTCAAAGGCAGGGCAGCAGAACAAAAAATCAGCATCCTTTGCCAGAACAAAATACACCTGCTAGGTGTGGAGGTAGAGGATAATAGGGTGTGCCAAACTGTGGCATGAACTGGGAGGATCAACTTGTTCCCTGAGGTTGCAAGAGATCCAGCACTCTGTGCTGTGGGACTCTATCTTCATTCAGAGGTACCCAGAGGAAGCCAATTATTGATGGTCCCTCTGCACTTCAGGACCTGGTATTGCATATGGAGGTGATGGAGAAGAAAGAGAGACCATCACATGTGGGTAACAGGAGATTCCTGTCAGAGCTGCCAGTACCTCTGGTTCTGATCCAACATCCTACCCCTCTCTCACCAACTACTGGTGAGAGGGAGAAGACTGGAAAGATTCCTCTGAGGGTCCTGGGATTCTTCTATAGGGATCCCATGGTCCCAAATTAGGGCAGGAAGAGGGGCCAACTGTTTGAGGGGAACCCCGTGGCATGAAGTACCACTGGTTCCTAAGCAGGTCATAACTATGAAAACAGTGATCATAAGTTCTGGATCACCTGTCTGGACTTGGCTCTCTCTAGAGGGAAGATGGAGGGGCTGACGCCTAAGACTGATCTAAATCTGAAGACTGCTCTTACTGAAGTGGCAGAACCTGACAGTGGTAAGTGAAATCGTTCCTGGGACACTAAGTAGTATCAGATTCCAATGTAGTTAAGTCTCTCAAGAGGGCTGGGACAGAGAAGAAGGGGTGACTGCAGGTAGGAGAGGAATACATCCTTTGGTGCTATATGAGTATTTGAATATCCAGGTGTGTGGAGGGGGAGGGAGGGGGGAAGAGGGGCAGAAGGAGGGGACTGGCTCTGCTGGGTTCTTTGAACAGATGAGTTGGTAGTGAGGAGCCTAGGCTCACATTCAAAAAAGGTAATGGTGAATCCTTCATTTTCATTTTATACCCTCCAGTCTGGATTTCTTTTTAGCACAGATGATTCATTGAGATTGAATATCCAGGTGTGTGGAGGGGGAGGGAGGGGGGAAGAGGGGCAGAAGGAGGGGACTGGCTCTGCTGGGTTCTTTGAACAGATGAGTTGGTAGTGAGGAGCCTAGGCTCACATTCAAAAAAGGTAATGGTGAATCCTTCATTTTCATTTTATACCCTCCAGTCTGGATTTCTTTTTAGCACAGATGATTCATTGAGATCTGCGAGTGAAGGCTCACAAAGGGTTCAGGGACAGAGCTCATCTCTAATG